TTAAAATCTTTTTATTTGCTTATTTATTTATTTATTATTATTATTATTATTATTATTATTATTATTATTATTATTATTATTATTATTATTATTATTATTATTATTATTATTATATACTATATAATTTACTAAAGATGTTACGGTAAATTTTTTTGTTTTTGATTGAGGTTATTTTATACCAATAAGTTTAAAAATTATGATAATTTTCTTCACTCATTAATTAGTATATTTATTTCACTCTTCAATTTAATTTTATCCTTTTTATATGTAGGAATTAAGTTATATACATCGACAACACACTGAATTTCTGTTACAATCTTCTCTGAAACTGCATGAACACAAAAACATCCATGCAACGATTTTCTTTTAGTGTAATTCAATATATTAGATTATTTACAATTTATTTTAGATATTCACCAATTAGTGATACTTAATAGAATGAACTATAATTATCATTTAAATTGATCATAAGGTGTAAATAGTTTTGACACTGTCATATTTCGATAATCCACCACTTTATTCTCTATGTTCTTCTTTCATTTTTTTTTTAAATTCGCTATTTTTTGTCTTAAACGATTAATGTTGTTTAGAAAACAATTTTTTTTGTTAGTGTATAAATTTTATAAAAATAAATTTAAGGGCGTCTGAATTCGCCTTAGCCACGAGAATATGTTGAGCCGCCCCTATGCGAAGCACTTGTCCAAATCAAGTTACGTACAAAGAAGTAAATACTTGAATACCACTCCACCTTCTGTGAGATTTAACTACTACTTGTCTTTCTTAACTTTTAATAAATATCCGTATTAGCCAAAAAAAAAAAAAAAAAAAAAAAAAAAAAAAAAAAAAAAAAAAAAAAAAAAAAACTCGTCCAGGTTCGAAGGTTTTAGAAGAATTTTCTAGAGTTAAAAGTAGCTTAAAAATACTTTTTGACTTATTTTAATGTGTGACAGACATCAAAATGCTTTTGGCTTATTTATTGAAAAGTGTGTTTGTTGGAGAAAAATAAAATATTAGTTTGATCCTAATTTGAGTCAATTACTCAAATGTAACTCAACTATTCAGGATTATCTAGTAAAGTCATGTTTCTTTTGTTTCTAAACGAAAAATCACTTAACTATTTGTATAGCACCGAGAATATCACTTAACAAGATTTCTTAAACTTTTGGTTGCAAAATACCTATTTTACCCTCTAAATTATCAACTTTTATCTTTTTAAATACTTTTTAAATATTTTTTTTAACTCTTTTTGCTCTATATTATGGACTTACCTATTGAATAAGGCACCAATTTTTCATAGGTCCGTCAAGAAATTTGCCGAACATCAAATATTAGAAAATTGACGGAGGAGAAGTATCTCAGTCAATCAAATTCTCTTGAAGACAAGTGAAGAAAATTATTCTTTTCTTGTCTCAATTTGGCTTACAAAAAATGGCTATAATACATAGAAAATCATAAGTTGGTATCAAAAAATGGAATTTGATTGAGTGAGATACTTATAGCGCCCGTCTTACTTCAATTATGTACTTCTCCCAGAATATCATAACTTGGTATGATGTTTGTCACAGTTATGAGAAGAAGAGGCCTAACATGATGTAGAATAGCCTGTCAATATAGCCCAAGATGACTGCCTAGCATTTCAACCCCAAAAGGGAGCTACGTTTTGAGGGAGGAAGGTAATGTAGGCAAGTCATCCTTGGCTAATAAACAAAGACTCTTCACTTCAGGTAAAGGCCTCTCTTCTATACATTTTAGTTCCTCTGGAATTGCCTTAAAATGATTTGTGGATAGTTTGTTGCTTCTTGGTTTTGTATTTATAGCTCAAAAAGATATTCCATATTCATTTTGGCACCAAGTGTTTGACCTTTCATTGCCAATTTGCTTAACCCATAAAATGCTTCCGTCCCATTCATTTCCTACAAAGTTCTGTGAAGTACGTACATGACAGAATATATTCTTTGAGTTGAAAGAAGCTTCAACTCAAAATATATTTCCTACACAGTTTTGGAATAATCAGTGTTGACATTCAATTTTATTCCTCCTTTCTTCCAGCTCAAGCTAGAGGGTAGGTTTCTCAAACTTCAGAATTAGAAGGTCCAAGAATATATTTTGTACATAATGTTATGGATAGACTAACAATAAGCATAGTGTTTATTTTTTGTTTTGGTTACTCAAATGGTAAAGAGAGGAGTCCTTTACTATTCACATGTGAAAGCATCGTTGACTATCCCTTATTCACAATTTAGAGCAATTGCACTTATATTTTTCAGAATTGGAAATGTTCAATTCATCTTTTAGTTTTTATGGAGGTTAGATTTTATGTCCCCTACTGTATGTACTCTTCTTTTGGATTTTAATATAAAAGGTAAGGGTTCAAGCCAAACTCCCGCCAAACCAAGGCCAATTTAACAAAAATAAGAAAAAAAAAGAAAAAAAGAAACTCCGCTTTATTTCATTTTTTATTTCATTTAAGTTCTCTGGACCAGAAAATGGGGAGTATGTTGTATGTAATGTCAATCAATAAAAGTTTATCAATAGTGTTTTAGATTCGAGATTTGACTAAATCTTAAGCTAAAAAGTGAACGAAAATTGGTCGGAATCAATTATCAATTTGATAGCAAGTTGACCATCAAAACATTTCAAAGATGCATTGCTGCATAAGAGTTTCAACTACTGTGAGCTCATTCTTCATCCCAATCTAATCACGAATTTGCGAAATTTCACTGAAAAATTATCAACCTAATCACCTTTTGCTTAGAATAAGAATTTTTGTTGTTGTTACTTCTACTAGGGGCAATTATTAGCCATTTTGACCATAGACTAGTGCTCATAAGAGGCAAAACTGATGTCTCTAAGAGTACAACTTTAAAGAAGCCTTGAAGAATTGAAGAACTTTACTCCTAAGTCCTAACTTATAAACGTTAATCAATTATTCCATGTTTACCACCTTGATATTTGCCCACATGACAACATACCTAACTGAAGTTATTGTATCCTCAAAGATCCCACTTTAATGAAAATCAAACATCCAAATTCCTGGCTATTCAGGTATGGGTGGGCATAAAATCCAAAAAATTAAAAAATTGGACCGGATCGAATTAATTCGGTACTTCGGTTTCAGTTTTTCGGTACTTCGATATTAATTCGGTATGAATTTTTTGAAAGTTTGGTACGGTTCTCGGTATTAAGATATTTATATTTCGGTATTTCGATAATACCGAACTTTTTTACTAAATGTTACTCACAATTCGCAGGCAGCAGCAACGTATCCAACCATTAGCTGTATCTTTCCTTTAGGTTTAGGTGTTTAGCAGGCAGCCCTCGTGCAACTCATCATTTTTCTCTTACAAGATTCATACTTTCCACTATTTCTTTTTCATATTTGCAAATTTCATTGCTAATTGCTTATCCTTTGATTGTTCTGATTCTAAAGTCGGTTAAAACTTAGATCTATTATGGGCTATTCAAAATGTTAGAAATATTATGGGCTTTAAATTACAAATATTTTGATGTTGCTCGTTAGTAGCACTAACACTTTCTAGTTGCTAGAGCTAGCTGTTATGTCTCTAATCTACCGAATTTTCTGAGTTGACTATCGGATCATGTTGGAGAAAGAAAAAAACTATTGGAACATGAATGGTTTTGAAAACTTTTCAAGATTCAATGTGGGATCACAAAGTAAAACTGAAAGTTTTTCGCCACGAGTATCTCTAGTTCACTTTCTAATGTCTGGTCGTTGTCGCCTTTCCTAATTTTTTTATTCATATGAAAATCATGCAAATTGATATACTGAAATCATACCGATACCGTACCGAACCAAACAAGAAATACCGAACCGTATCGAACTACTTTGGTACGGTATTTGGTATATACAATTGATAAATCGAATACCGAATTGTAGTTCTTAAATACCGAACCGAAATACCGAACGCCCACCCCTATATTCAGGCATGATATATATAAGATTGTGAAAATTATAAAAAGTATATCGCAACATTTTTTTTACCAATAAAATTTTATTCAATTTGTGTTTTGAAGGTCTAAATATACCATAAATCTCTTGTAACACTTTTGAAAATACCATTTTGACACATGCCTAAACACATAATAGCTAATGTCGAATAACCTAAACCTTTTCCTAAGTATACTTATATGAAAATAAAAAGAAAAAACAAAATGGCAATCTTCCAACTTCTGATTTACTAGAGCATGTTTTACCTTTGGAGAAAAGTACAGGGCTTGTTAGAAATATTTTACCAGAAATTTACCCCATTCTATATATAGCAACGTCGTCGTTTCATAAACTTCCTTATTCCAACTTCCAGATACATTATGATCAAGGCTGTAACGTACTTACCAGCTTTTTGCCGCAAAAGTAACGGGAAACGTACCGCTAATTTCCTTGAAAAAAACCGAGTATTCCGAGTCTAATAGCAGTTAAAACCACAAAATTTCACCACAGAGATGAATGATGATACTGATTATTGATTAATCCTTAATCCAATTCTTGAGATGGCCACTGAGGCCAAATCTAATATGGTCAAAGGTCAAACCAAACAGTAGCTATCAAAATGGGTTTGTCCTTAATGCCTAAAATTGATTCATCTGTGATCAAAGAGGAAGTTGTTGAGACCTCTTTCAAGCCACATGTGGATTCTAAGTGTAAATCCACCATATTTGTCTCTAAAACTGAGGTACCCTTCAGAAAGATCATATTTTTTTTGCTTTGAAGTTGTTCAAGATTTCACTTTTCCTGTGGTTTCTTTGTTATTTTTATCTGGGTGTGTGACATTTCTTGTTAATTTGGTTTTTCATGTGTATTAATGATTTATCTAGTGGATAAATTCATGAGCTTGTTGCTTTTTGAACACCCTTTTTTCTGAAAAAATTGAAACTGATAACCAAAAGCTTATTTTCTTTTATGGTTATCTCCTTTGAGGTTTTTCTATGAATCATTGTCAAAACAGATACCTTCAACTGAAAATGGCAGAGTTTTGGTAAGTTTTCTTGGTAAGTATGTAGGCTATTTTTGTCCTAAGAGTCATATGTAGAACTATACTTGTATGTATGGGATTTGAAATCGATTAGTGCAACTAGTTCTAAAGGTATATCCATTTTACGAGACTTACCAAGGAGGTATTAATACACAGATATTGGATCATGTTCGGCAGTAAGGTGGATGTTAGATTTTTGGTGTCATAGGAAAATGTTTCCCAAGAAATACACGAGATGCTTGAGATATTTTCATCAGTATTTGGTTTTGATTAAAACATTGTCACATGAATGTGGTGTTACGTGAGCCTTTTTCCAGTTTTACATCTTTATTTCTGTTTTACAAAATTTTACCATCCTCTCCATCAAGCATGCATAGAAGGTGTTGGTCTAAATGATTTAACAAAAGCCTTCTCCAACTAGGGATGTCTGGGATTAGGACTTTCGAGAAACTGAGGTATGCTCGGCATGATCCCCTCATGGTCCTCAAATCTGTTGCTCGGACTCAAGGATTTCGTCATTTTCTTCAAGTGTATATACAAAACAGAACTAGATGGTGAAACATGCCTTTGTTAATATCAGAACTAATTTACTTATAAGGAGAGAATCATAAACTATGAATGGAATTGTTAACAAAACACCCAAATCGGCTCTTACATCTTCATGTTATTAGCTTGATGCTAACAGGTACACTACAAAGCTATTAGATTTTTCATGTCATAGGTAATAATGTTTCCTAGGGAATAGGGGATGCTCGATGTGATTTTTTCAATATAAAGTTTTGATAGTAACATTGTTGTGTCATCGTGTTAAGGTCTCGTGTATGAGACATTCTTGTTTTACATCTTTATTTCCATTTTACAAGACTTACTACAACAAGTTACTAATACAGAGATATCTATCTTGTCTAGAAGTAAAAGCGAATGTTAGATTTTCCATGTCATGGGAAATGATTTCCTAGGAAATTGGGGATGCTTGATGTATTTTCTTCAGTATAAATGTTTGATAACAACTTGGCTGTGCCATTCCATTAAGCTATTTTTATTTGAGCCTTTTGTGTTTTACGTCTTTATTTTCATTTTACAAAAATTTCTCGTGTATACAACTAAAAGTGGATATTAGACTTTTTATGTCGTAGGAAATAGTGTTTCCTTAGAAATAGGATATGCTTGATGTATTTCTTCAATATAAAGTTTTTAATAATGTTGCTGTTGATCATTAAGGTGTCACACGTGAGCATTTATTGTTCTGCATCTTTCTTTTTATTTCACAATACTCACTTCACTCCTACTAATAAGAAGATATTGAGTATGTGCTGAAGTACTAGTGGATGGTGGATCTTTCCTTTCATAGGAAGTGATGTTTCCTACGAAAAGGAGATCATTGATGTATTTTCTACAAATATTAGGTTTCAATAACAACATTGCTGTATCACTGCATTAAGGTTGCTTTTCTTGCTTTACATTCCTATTTCCATTTCACAAAAATATCTGTTACCGGTACTAATATGGAGTTATTGGTCATGCATTGAAGTACAACTTGATATTGGATGTTTTCAAGTCACAGGGAATGCTGTATCCTACGAAATAGGATTGATGTATTTTGTCTTTTCTTGGATGACGGTGGTGTCCGAGCGAGCTTGCGTGCACCTCAACTATTCCATCGGGTACCTTCTGCCTCCCACCAGCACAATTTCCAGGTAACTCTGCCCACATCTTTTATGTCATAGATAGGAAATGATGTTCGCTAGGAAATTCAAGATGCTCGATGTATTTTCTTCAATATAAAGAATTGATAACAGCATTGCTGTATCATTGCAGTAAGGTATCGTTATGTGAGTCTTTCTTGTTTTGCATCTTTATTGCCTTTTCTTGGAAACTTTGAGAATATTGCATTCATCAACTAAAAATGTGATCTGCTCGATTCCCATGTGGTCTAATGCCGTCCAATGTTTCCCTTCAGAAGAACATCCCAACTTCCATGTTGTTGGTCCAATCCCTTGAACGAAGTTCCTTGCAGGCTTTAATGACACATAGAACATTTGTTTTTATAGTGGGACTTCTAATGTCCCAAAATCCAAGTTGAGTTATAGAATCCATAAATTGAGGAAATGATGACATTAACTTAAACATCATAATCATACTTGCTACTCCACTTGTGATTCTTCTTGTTTCATTTTATATATCTCAATGCTGAACTTAATCTTCAGAATATGAGCTTTGCATTACATGAAGGTCTTCATCATTTTTATCTCCTCATGGATAAGACTTTGCATGACACATATTTTTTCAAACGGACAGAAACCTGCTAAAAGCTTGGAACAATAAAATTTTGTGCCAACGGTAGCCTATATTTCTAGGGAAAATTGTCTTTCACAATCCTTAGACCTTATTGTAAGATCCCATCATGTTCACGTAAAAACCTCATGGAAGCTTATGGCCAAGGGCGAAGCCAGGAATTTTCTGAAGGGTGTTCAAACTTGAAATAAGTAAAAAAAAAAATTCCAACAAAGGGTGTTCAATATATGTTATGTACCTCTAAAACCAAATATTTTACTTATATACGCAGTATAATTTTCCGACAAAAGGTGATCAATTGACCACCCTAACTTAAGTGCTAAGTTGCTCGGACTCGGGTGCGGATCTAGAGGTCGGATCTTTCAAGATGTAAATTTTAAGATTCGGAGATACGGATCCTAGTACGGATACGGGTGCGGGAATCCGGCTAAAAATAATTAAAATATATATAAATCTCTCTAATTTGTGAGAAATTTTGTGGAATACTTACGTATAGCTTGTAAAGTGTGGATTTCCTTTTTATTCTCAAGTTGTAGATAAGTAAAAGATTGATTTCCTAGATAAGATATATTATTTTCTTCAAATTTACCCTAGTTTTAGTTTTGATTTCGGTAATAAAATTGTATCTCGTCTCGAATTTTTCGATCCGTCGTGGTCAAAGTACCCAAAATTGTTTGATCAGATCCGGTACGGATCCCATACCCACACCCATACTAGTGTCTTGTCGACACGGGTGCGGCACCTAAACTGCTATGTCGGAGCAACTTAGCTTAAGTGTGGCTTTGCCCCTGCTTAGGGCCACCATCTAAAGTTCTCTCATGTTTCTACTTTGCTGAAATGTGCAACCTCTGGTGGTCCAAGGGTTGTTCTATCTTACTATGATTTATGGTTGAGGAAGAAATTTCTCTTTTATGCAGACTATACATGCTTGTTGGTCCTTAAATTGCCCTTAATATGTACGGTGAGATCCTTTTTAATTTGTGATGATTGGGTTTAACATGATTCCCAACTATCATCTAAGCTTGGACGAGAAGTGGATTATGAGAACTTTATAAGGTGCTTCCGGGGAGTTGATTAAATTCTTGCAGTACTAGTACTTGGGTAAGTCAGCAAGCACAACAGGAATTGACAAGGTCGAAAGACAAAGATGTAACATATAAGGCAATGGCTTAAGGAAGAGATAACCATCATTATGTTTATCTGCAGAAGATATGTTCTACACCACCCTACAAGTGAAGGACAATTTCATCATTTGTTTGCTGAGAGAGGTGCTTCTGTATTTATATATGAGGTAGCCTCGCGTTATGCTCTATCAGATGTCCGGTAGTGTTTATAAGTGACTGATCTTTTATTATGTTGTGAAATGAAATTGCATCTTCTGGATTGTGGCATGTGTCTACCAAAAGATGTGTATTCCCATGTTCTTACTGGCCAAACACATTTCTAGATGACATGTATCATTTACCAGTATGAATTATGAGAGAATAAACAAGTATAGAACAACTTTATTTTAGTTGTGATACTTACCTTGTTCATATTTGTCTGGTAATATAACTTCTGATTGAAACAAATAAAAAAACAGATGCGATAGACGAGATACCCTGTCTACCGTCTTTAGAGTATTATTAAGGCATTACCTCATACAGTTACCTTCTTTTATTCTATCATTTGTTCCCCCAATAGAAACACTTCAGGAGTTGCAATTTCCTCACTTGTCAGACTTGATAACTTTTGCTGATGAGGGGGAAAAGTCATCCCTCGATGTCTTCTTTCATGCAGAACCTTGTTAGGCATTTCAAGTTAGTACTCAAGTCATACTTGACCCCATAGTAATATGCACACACAAATTCTCACTTTCAACAATGAAATTCAACCCAGGAATGCCAACATCTGTCCAGGAAATTTTCGAAACACAGTGTTCTTTCCCTTAAATTCCTGAGTGAAACGATCCCAACCAGGAGAAGTATCGAAGTGAGTTTTGTATCATAGGATGAGAAGAAGTTGAAGATGGTACAGGTGAAAAAAGCTGCTTCTCCATTGCTTTGTCATGTTTGTTTTGGGAATGAAGAGTTCTTAGATGTCAGGAGGAGATTTTAATACGATGAGTTATTTGGAAGAAAGGATGTAACTTGACTCTCTAGAGCAATGAAGTGTTCAGAGTTTATTGATAGCTTTTAGCTAGTTGATGACAGGTCCTCGTTTCACGTGGACCAGGATGAACGAGTCAACGTCCAAATTCAGACTTGACAGATTTCAATTTTCACATTTCAACCACATGGAGAGGTAGCCCCAGATATCATCCAAATCCCCTGTCATATTTCCATCAGATCATGTTCTTATTCTCTTGGACTTCAGCAGGATCAGAAAAGCTCAGGAATCGTTTACGTCAACATTTGAAAACATGTGGCTAAAGGCGAACAATGGAGAGCTCATTGGAAAATGGTGGGGGAATCATCATTGTAAATTATTTACATCAGCTTCTTACTGCTGTAGTTCCCAGTTCCAACTAAATGGTAATTTCATCATCAGCTCTTTTGCTTAGATCTGCTTTCTGTTGGCCACTGGAACCTCTATATTCTAGAAATTGGATTGCTACTAGCCCCAAAACCACTTCTCCTTTCAAACGCCCATTGAGCACCTTTTGAGTTGTATTTTCCCATATATTCCTAAACATTGCTTCTAGATTCTGATCGCATATATTTCTCAACCTAGTCACCAATTTCGTTTCTTGTTTTGGTTGCAAACTATCTCAGTGCAACTGCCCCCTTAATTGGGATGGAGGTATTTTCCCAATGTTCTTGACTTTCTGAGGCGAAAATAATAGGAAATAGCTGCAATCTCCTGAAAAATACTGCTACTTGGATGCACATCTTTAATGCTGCTCAGAATTCTTACTTCAGACTCTTGCTGCCTTGTATATTCCAGAACTATGTTTGCCTATAATTAAGGTAGCCCTGGATCTTGCAAACTGTCGGATAGCTGCCAGTTGGATTAGTTCAGCTGGTAAGTTGTAAATGGCAGATATTTAAGATGAAAAGAGTAGTCTAGGTCATTTAGGATAAGAATGTGATGGTTATGCTCAGCTGGTACTCTTAACTCATCCCGGGCAAGTAATATGAGCTAGTAAAGTGTAAAATGGCAGATATTCAAGTCCTTCAATACATGGCATAAAATGAGTAGCCTAGGTCGCGGTTACACTCAGCTAACACTCGATCTCACTCTTCGCTACTGATATTTCTTCTCCCTTACTTTATGTGAACTGACATCCCATTGAACTTTTCAATGCAGTGACCTTGTTATCTTTCACATTTGCCTCCAGATATTCACAAAGATGCCAATGGGAGTCATCTATCCTGCTTTCCACCAGACTTGGCACTTGAACATTGTCAAACATCCACAACAAGAAAATATAAAATTAAAAACATAAAAATTCTTAAATAAGAAAATGTAGTGCTGGTAAGAAATTATAATCAGATCACATTAAACATGTGTCCTTCTTGATAAAGGGAAAATGAGATGGTTTGAGCATTCTGCTTTTGCTGTAATTATTATGATGTCAATATCCGTGTAATATCCATACATCTGATTTTGGTCTCAGAAAACTGTAATATAAATTTTGTCAGATGTTAAAAATATAACGCTTAATTATCTAATGCTTGAACAAGCTATTAGACAGAAATCATGTGCATGTGGAGTAATGAAACACCTTTAATGGGATTGTATTACATAGTCTCAATACAGTGAACATGAGTTTATGATGAACCAGATATTGAAGTTTTAGAATGCAATATTAGCTCAAGGACGAGGAATTTTATGATCTTTGCTTCTGATTAATTTTAATATTTATGCTTTCAATGCATATATAGATCATAGACAATGTTAATGCTTAATCTCTATATGTCTTGCTTGATTTCAGTTACATATTGATTTTAGCCATGTTCTTTTTCACTTTTGGATTCCCCGTAGACTTGTTAGGAGATTGATGGAGCAGTATAGGGAGAGAAAGAAGGACTTGCATATGGTGTTCATCGACTTAGAAAAGGCGTACGATAAAGTCCCGAGGGAGGTTTTGTGGAGATGTTTGGAGGCTAGAGGTGTACATGTTACCTACGTTAGGTTGACTAAGGACATGTATGATGGAGTACAGATCCGAGTGAGGACGGTGGGTGGGGACTCAGACCTTTTTCCGGTTATGATGGGGTTGCATCAGGGGTCGGCACTCAGCCCTTTTTTGTTTGCTCTGGTGATGGACGTACTGACGCACCACATCCAAGGGGAGGTGCCGTGGTGCATGCTATTTGCAGATGATATTAATTGATTGACGAGACGCGAGACGGTATGAACGCGCAATTAGAGGTATGGAGGCAGACCCTGGAATCTAAAGGTTTCAAGTTGAGCAGGACCAAGACAAAATACTTGGAGTGTAAGTTTAGTGGCGAGACTCAATGAGGGGAAGGGGAAGTGAGGCTGGACCCGCAGGTCATCTCTAGGAGAGGGAGTTTTAAGTACCTTGGGTCTATTATTCAGGGGATGAGGAGATTGATGAAGATGTTACACATCGTATTGGGGCGGGATAGATGAAATGAAGACTCGCTTCCGGTGTTTTGTGTGACAAGAAGGTGCCACTGAAACTTAAGGGTAAGTTCTACAGAGTGGTGGTCAGATCAACGATGTTGTATGGGGCTGAGTGTTGTCCAGTCAAGCTCTCCCATGTCCAGAAGATGAAGGTAGTAGAGATTAGGATGTTGAGATGGATGTGCGGTCACACCAGGTTAGATAGGATCAGAAATGAGGTTATTCACGACAAGGTGAGTGTGACCCTATTGAGGACAAGATGCGGGAAGCGTGGCTTAGGTGGTTTGGTCATGTGAGGAGGAGCAGCACAGACGCCCCGGTGAGGAGGTGTGAGAGGTTGACATTGGAAGGCCTACAGAGGGGTAGAGGTAGGCCAAAGAAGAGGTGGAGAGAGATGATTAGGCAAGACATGGCGCAACTTCAGCTGACCGAGGACATGACCCTTGATAGGAAGGTATGGAGGTCGAAGATTAGGGCAGTAGAGTAGGTAGTCTAGAGTGTTCATAACAGTAGTATTGGCACGCAGTCTTGTCTTTTGTTGGTAGTAGGTTTTTATGACTAACCGTTTTTCTTTCATTGTTGATCACATTAGTGTCTTGTTGTTTTTATTCTGTTTTTATTTGGCTTTTTGGTACTGTCCCTCCTTGTCTATATTTTCATTAATGTAGTGCTTATACTTTCCTGAGCCGAGGGTTTATTGAAAATAGCCTCTCTATCCTCACAAGGTAGGGGTAAGATTTGCGTACACATGACTTCCCTCCCCAGACCCCACGGTGTGGGATAATACTGGGTATGTTGTTGTTGTTGTTGATTCCCCGTAGACTGTACACTTCTAGACATCTTTCCATGACGTGTGTATTTGGTCCAACAATTAATGGATTGAATCTACAAGAATGCTGAAGTATTTGGACTTAGGCATATACTTGCAGGTTGATGGAACATGGTCTGTTGTCCCCTGTCAGTGTCAAGTCTCCGCCACCACTAATCTCGAGCAAACCTGAGAGTTCCAAAGTGCCGCAGCAAGCATCAAAGAATGCTGATGTGAAATCAAAGAAACGATTAAAAACTGATTGCAATTAGCAATGATGATGATTTCATACTTGGTCCAAAGAGGAGAAAAGGGTATGAAAGAATGCTCATTTCCTTGTGCTATCATGTATCGAGTAGAAATTTGGCTCAGTCGTGAAAACTTCAAAAAGGATTTGATGGAGTGCATGTTTTTTTCTTGATTTATGGAAATGAATAAGTGAATTAAAAAAATTAATACCTCCAACCTGTATCATGGAACTATAATTGATTTTAGTGTTATGTAGCAAAACGTTTAATGTGACTTGTTTAGTTTGTCTCATGTTGTTACTTTACAAGGTTCAGGAAGTAGACATATCTCAGAATTCATTACAAATTTCTCACAAGCGATCAATTTCCAACTGAAAATTTGAGTAAAGAAAGATTCTTTTCTTCCACTTGCAATAATTTAAAATAGTGGCAATCAGGTCAAGTACAGTAACAATTTATATAGTATCTTATGACTACTTTTGAGAGACCTTCCCAAATATCTGGATGTGTGAGTTATTTCCAGGGTAATTATTAGAATTGTCTAATTAATTCAGATGGTCTGTGCGGTTGATTTCCTTATTTGTTTCAGCCTTTCGGTCATTTCAGGGGCGAGCAAGCTAAGGCTGCTGCACATTACTATGATGCATACATGTTAATCTTACGGTTCACGGTAGTCCTTACATGTCTTTAATACTCAATGGTCTGGATAGCTGCTGCTGCATTCAGATAAAGGGAACATGGATTTATGATGCAAATGAGAACATATACCATAAGCTGAAGTTAAGTTTGATCTTGACATTGTCTTGTTCATGCGATGGCATGACCCATGTTACTTGTTCTTGACATATATAACATTTTGTACCTTAGATCATTGGATTCTCCAATGAGGATGGTTAAAGGGTAAGAACCTGACTCTTTTAATGTTTTATTGCAAGCATTGAAATTTTATTGGTGCATTTATTTGAGGAGACAAGAAAACTAACTCCATTGCACGGTAAGCATTTAATGTAGGAGACTGAAAACAATACCAATCCAATTCTTGATTTGATAAACTTAGAATAAACTATCACCTCTTGACATTTTGTGATTTTCACTACCTGCATCCTGTTGTTTTGCAAGTTAAATAAAGCCAAAAACATGAAGTTAGTTGTTGATGGTGGGAAGAAGAGATACTTGCTACATCAGAAGGTAGAAAGGTTGAGAGTGTCAATTGTTGACAAACGCGATACAACATATTCTCATTGTCTCAAAGTCAAGGTAATATCTTATGGTGATTGTAATGTCCTTGATTATTGGTGACCACTACTTAGACTGAACAAAGTTAAAAGTATTTGTTGGATTATTATCTGGTAAAACATCAATGTCTATATGGTACGGTTGATGGAGATGTTGCAGTCATAAGAGGATACAAGTCAAGAGTGAGAGTTTAATTTACTGCTCTTTTATGTGAGTTGTCCTTGTCTTCTTCACTCTTCTTGTAAGCCTTTTTATATCTCTTTTCTTCTCTAATGGCTTTCTTATCATAAGTATTTTCGGTCCTTCACTGGATAATTAATGAATGCAGGTACTCTGAAGCCTGTGACCTTCTTCTGCTTTAGATATCTTTCTCTTACTTTTCTTTTTTCTTTTTTATAACAAGTTGTGTCAGTATGATCTTGCGCGTACTTCGACTATTCGTTAGGTATTTGCTACATTCCATCAGCATTTGCACCGAATAACTCTATCCATCAAGGCTTAAGCGAGCGGGAAGAAATCACCTAGCATTTTCTTCCTCTATCGGATTGAAACCTTGCTCTTTCATGGTTTTCGCCCAATTTATTGCTCCTTCTTTGGGTTATTCATTCTCTATTTTTGAGCATGGATATTAAAATAAGAGTTGAAAATCAAAGTTTGATGTTGACCGTAGAATATGTTAAGTAATATACTTTGATTAATGGATTATATTATAATATAATTAAAAAGAGGATAATAGTAAAAGTAAGTTGTATATAACTCCTAAAAAATTTAAATTTCTATAAAGATTCTTATAGTGACAGCACTTTAGGATTACACAGAAAGGAAAATGACTGATGGAGTATATTTTTATATTGCTTTTAGGACTTTTCCGGTCCAATTATTGATTTCAGAAGTGTCTTATCATTAGTTTAGGGATTCTCACCAAAATTTAAAGGAAAAAGGGAATTCTGGACTGAAGCTTGAGGTAGTAGCAAACTAGCAACTTACATTTAGGTTATCTCGTGTAATCAAAGTATAAAAGCATATAAGTATTTCCTTTTGTAATATGGTATCATAGTAGTGTTAACTTATGCCTCATCAAGGTCGGCTATGAGTAGGGGTGGAAAACTGGCGGGTCGGGTCGGGGTTGAAAACGGGTAATTTAGAAAACGGATAAATTATCCGACGTGACCCATATTTGAGACAGATAAAAAACTAGTTATCCGGCGGATAATATGGATATCCATATTATCCGTGGCTTCTTGAATATGATTACTCATGGGAGAATTCGTAGTCTCCCAAACTTTGAGCCTTTACAAATGTAAAAGTTAAATACATTAGTTATTCATTGGTTATCCATTTGGTTAACCATTTTCTAAGTGGATAATATGGTTATTATCCATATTCGACCTTTTTTTAAAAAAATTATTATCCAACCCATTTTTTAATAGATAATATGGGTGGATAACTATTTTCCGCTATGAGCTACACCTGCCTTCTACAGTTGAGGTCTGAGGGTTTAAACGCTATTACTACCGTAGTATCCCATTCTTCTTTCTTCTCCTCCCCCGATGTAGTAAAGAAAATTTTAAAAAAACCCATGACCTACAAAGCTTATGAATTAACGGCTCTTACATGATTATATTTTTTAGTTATTTTCTTTTATTAACTTGTCGCTAGTTAAACCATGCAACAAGAATCATACGTGTGTTATATATGGTTAATAAAGGAAATATGGGAAAGGAGAGTCACACGAGTAACTAGGTGTAAGTTTCGATTGAAGCCATTCAAATATAGTTAAGAATCTAAATCGAAATCCTATTTTCTACTTAATACATCTTTCGGTTCATATTATCTTTCTTTAAGATTTTTGCACATCCTTAATCATAAGAGTATTTAACTGGAGCTAATCCCAACCCTTATTTGAATTATTCTTTCTCTCATAATCGTCCTACTTATTTAACACTTAATTGGAGTAGTGAAGGTCGAGTTAAAAGAGAAGTAATATACGATTTCTTGTATTTGAAAATGTCAATTATGTTGAAACAAATTTAGTTTGTCAAAATGACTAATATTCAGAATCTAATAAGCACAATTTAATATGCAGTAATTGTGTAATGTGACAGTATGGTTGCATAACCTCTCCTACTTTTCGTAGTTCACTTATTTGCTAAATTTTGGCCAACCTGCTTGTCTAAGTTCATAGAAATATAGCCCACTGAAGTTGACATCATAACATCTTCACTACCTGGAAGATAGGGATGCACATTCATTAGGTTTACCCAGTTTTTGAGTTGATTGGTACGATTTGTTATGTCTTCACTAAACAATAATGAGTATTTCTTGTTTTGGTTTTTCCTTTGTTTTTTCTATCTTTGATTTTGTTTCTTTGTTTTTTCCTCTTTATTAGAGCTTTCAATGGGTCGTTTCAAATTACAACCTTTATTTTTCTTAAATTTCCAAGATTTAGTTGTCATTTTCTTGAAGAAAAAAAACTATTTTATATGATATTAACGGTAACTTTTAAAAAGATTTAGTTAAAGGCTCGTGTAAAAGAATAAGAAGGATTTCATAGATGTTATAGTTTTTTCAGTTTTTTACTTAAACCCGAAACATAACTGAAAAATCAGAATTTTTAGAAGAGAAAGTCAAATTTTTAGTCCACTGTATTTTAAAGAAAAAAATAAGGGACTTTTTCATATATATATATATATATATATAT